TCTCGTTAACCCCAGGGAACATTATACAGCCTCTCTCGTTAACCCCAGGGAACATTATACAGCCTCTCTCGTTAACCCCAGGGAACATTATACAGCCTCTCTCGTTAACCCCAGGGAACATTATACAGCCTCTCTCGTTAACCCCAGGGAACATTATACAGCCTCTCTCGTTAACCCCAGGGAACATTATACAGCCTCTCTCGTTAACCCCAGGGAACATTATACAGCCTCTCTCGTTAACCCCAGGGAACATTATACAGCCTCTCTCGTTAACCCCAGGGAACATTATACAGCCTCTCTCGTTAACCCCAGGGAACATTATACAGCCTCTCTCGTTAACCCCAGGGAACATTATACAGCCTCTCTCGTTAACCCCAGGGAACATTATACAGCCTCTCTCGTTAACCCCAGGGAACATTATACAGCCTCTCTCGTTAACCCCAGGGAACATTATACAGCCTCTCTCGTTAACCCCAGGGAACATTATACAGCCTCTCTCGTTAACCCCAGGGAACATTATACAGCCTCTCTCGTTAACCCCAGGGAACATTATACAGCCTCTCTCGTTAACCCCAGGGAACATTATACAGCCTCTCTCGTTAACCCCAGGGAACATTATACAGCCTCTCTCGTTAACCCCAGGGAACATTATACAGCCTCTCTCGTTAACCCCAGGGAACATTATACAGCCTCTCTCGTTCATCCCCGGGAACATTATACAGCCTCTCTCGTTAACCCTCGAAACCATAATACAGTCCCTCTCGGACACCCTGGGAACCATAATACATTCTCTCTCGGACACCCTCGGGACCGATATCTGAAATGTTTGCGATSAGACTCCATCCCGYTTCTATCGCTGTCTTAAGCGTCGCGAGGGCAGTAAGGRGAAGAACATGGGATAAAAATTATAACGACAGAGTCTCTGTGAGTTGCGCCTTAAAATTCCTTTGCGTGTTTTTATCTTTTATCGAAGTGATGCACAGTTCACGATACAATTCCCGTCATGTATTACAGTAAGCAGTTGTAATCTTTTGTCGCAATATCAGGGCTGATAACACTGAAGATAACGATAATAGGACCACCAATAATAGACGTCGGGAATAAGAACAAAACGCCATGCTTTGTAAGAAATACTCACGYAAAAGACAAAGGTCATAATTTTCAAATATCTCTGAATGCTTTGCATTTTTAAAATTTTAAAATTATTTTGTTTGATATCGATAAATAGCGATTTTTTTTGGTTGGTCGCTATTAAACGTAATAGATGAATAAAATGAAAAAGAGATTAAGTTACTTAAAGCATAATTCCTTGGTGTTATTCGTAATTGATCAGACATTTCGCCTTATAGAGCTTTATCAGTAAATAGCAAGGCAGATTTCCTATAAGTAGGACTCTCTGTAGACTCACAAAATCATAAAAAAATCTAAAATTGACGGGGAAAAAACCSARCGGGGATAAAATAGCAGATTAGCCAGGAATGCGATATAGAAATGAAAGAAAGTTATAGTGCTTAGAAGGAGGCAATTCCGGGAGAATTAGATTAGCCAGGAATGGGCGGTGTTCTTAAATCATCCTTACCATAACGTATGGATCAGACAGAACGCTTTGCAATTCGTAGCAGTCGTCGTCTTCTTCCGCTCGAAACTCAATCAAATCGATGACCTGAAACACATCCACGATAATACAGAAAAATGACAACACTGAACAGGAAAATATATCCTGATGGYCATGGTATAAAGATCATATAAAGATCAAAAGATCAAAACAATGGATCTCGTGATCTATTTCCGGTGTTTACTGCGTTCCCTATTAGACTAAAACACCTTTTTTTTCTACCTGCAACTTGGCGATTAAAAAACATGGCTTTTTGTTATTTCTTTTTTCAGAAAAATAGTCAATGAAAGTAATACTAAAAAAAAGTAAAAGAAATGTTTGACACAAGGAAAGGGCAAARMAAAAATTATAAAAATAACGATAATSAAGAGTAATGAAGTGAAGTGTGCTTAATTTTAAAGTGTGTTTCACGGGTTCACGAAAACTGACAACGGCTGCTTGAAAAGCTCGAAAAACACTAATTCCACTAAATGAGAGAAAATTACTTGACTGATTCTGCACCTCTGGCAGTCTTTTTGTCACAATCCATGCATAATGAATGTACATTTTTTGCCGTTTTGATAAGGAAAAGAAGATCAATATAGGCCACCTAGTTGTAATATCACAAAGTGGCAATGTTTATTAAGACTCATGGTCCGACACAGCCCCAAATATCATCCGACAAGTTACTTTTGTACTGATAATAACGTCAAATCAATATAATACAATAATATATACGATAATTRGAGGTAATATTCAACTGTGTTCAATACAAGTAAGGATGAAAATACAGTGCAGAATGTTTTCGTCTTGTAATAAAAGCATTTTACGCTAGTTGTTGTTGTTGCTGCTGTGATTTTTATCACGCAATACTACACGAGAAAGGAGTGACTTACTTCTTTTGCATTCTGCTCTCCTGTTGGAGTTGTACTAGGCGGGCATGACTCATGTGTTTCTGTCCATTCTTGGCTACGATCGTACACCTACATCACAGAGAAAACATGAAGRTCATAACAAGACGATTCGAACAAAACGTCCACTTGACTTAGTACCTCTAATAAAGCTTGCAGTCTCGGATCTTCAAAAAAGCTCTGAAGAAACGTCGTYTCACTCGCTTTGGCGCCTGTCAGTACTTTAATTTCCTCCAAAGAGTCTAACAGCTGACTAACCGCTCCTGGAAGAGCATGGATAGAATTGTAACGCATTACTGTTTGTCACGCGAATTGAGACTTTCAGATAAATAGTAGGTATTTATATCGGGAAACTATTCAATTACCTGTAGCAGTTAAGTCGTCTTCTTCACATTCAAATACATCATCGTCACTCTAATGGAAAAARCAATTACTAATTATAATCAGCTCATTAATTAAATGCGACGGCCCATTAATTAAATGTAACGATTATCATTATCATCATTATCAGTATGAATCACAACAATTAATGATAGTACTATAATAATACTGATTGATAAAATATAATAAGCAACCTAACAGATTCACTACCGAAATATGTCACATTTAATTAAAAATTTAATTTAAAAGAAATATGGTACATTCAAAACAGTTGGTGCCATCAATATTTACTAAAAAAATCATGAACTCAAAGAGAAACTGCTTACGTACCTGAACACCACCTATGTCTCCATTTAAAACTAAAATAAAAACCARGACGTAATCATTAAAACAAAGCAAAAGCGAACATAAATCTCAACAACAGCTTGTTTACAAACCTGGGAACTTTCGGCTGGCAACTGCAGCAAGAACAGCGCCCTATTAAAAACATGATTCGTTACTATTTTAGGTCAAAACATGGTCTCAAGCTCACATTTAAATCAAGAAATTATTAAATAAACTTCGAAGAAAAAAATGCAATTCTACTGAAATTACAGAGTCAAGTTCCCCCATGGATTGATCAGTCATATTTCCAGCTCAAATGCGAGTAGAGTTTCAAAGATGAAACAGCCAAAGCACAGGCTTATCTTTAGAGTTGAAACCGAATGAATTAAAAAACTGAAATTTCTAATGCGTGTTTTACTTGCATTTGAGTAACAAATCCTCATGGAAATTCTAAAATGATCGCATTAAATATTAATAAGTCGTACAAGATTGAGGTGCTCTTTAATTAAGGCACACCGTCAGGTACACCGAAATAATGGACAAGCCAATAAAGACTGGTAATGAGGCTAACCATATAAACGCCATAAGGGAATATTTTCCATTGCCTATATACGCCAAACATATGACACTTTTTCGCTAATAAAATAGTTTGAACTTTGGCAATAAACTAGCCACACTCAAGCGATATTATATCAAAATACAAAAAACAAAACAAAACAAAACATCCAGACACACAAACAAAAAAGAAAGAAGCAAGCCGGTAAAAAACTGTTGCGATATAGAACGCGTTACACGTCTAGTAGTTTATGCAGAGTACCACTTAACATGACAAAAGTTGGCTAGCAAATTTAGGCAGTAATGAAATATTTATTTTTCTTTTCTCTCTCTCTCTTTTTCTTCTTTTTTTTGCCGCTAAGTGAACGACTAAAAACAAGCTTTTTTATATCAAATAGAGTAACAAATTTGGTTGGTGAAACARAATTACCATAAGCTTTTTTATACTTTTTCCCCCAACAGAATCTTTTTGTGCGTGTTTATGCCTGAATATGCAAAACAACTGGAAAACAACCTTCAGATGTTCGAGATTAACTGGGTGTAAAATGGAGTCATATTTGGTGATTAATGCAAAACGTTTACCTTCAGCTTTCGTCGTGCATTGAATTTTTTCATCTCATCGACAGTGTCTTGTAGGTGGTCACGTCTCGGCACTTCTCGACTCTGAAATACAAAACAAATCAACAAATAAATGTGAAATAGAAATGACTGAAGATAATAGGAAGGAGGAAGAAAGAAAAATAAAGAAATAAGGAATTGGGAAGGATGAATGAATGRATKRATGGATGGATGGATGCTATAACAAATGAACAAAAGATTAGCGGGAAATGAGAAATGAGAAGAATAAAACGAACAGAATTAAAAACAAGAAGACAATAACAAAAACGAAAAGTATTGGAAATGGGAGAAAGCAAAATTTAAGAGAAAGAAAAAAAATATAAGAGAATGAATGGACAGAATTTAATTTGGATTAAGAAATCAGGAAAGGATCATATAAGCAAATCCTCTTGTGATAATTTAATGTCATTCTGCACTTTGTCAAATCATAACAAATGTATATTTTTAAAGATTACCTTAAGCCAAGGATGAGAAAGAGCTTCTTCAGCAGTGAGCCTACTCTCAGGCTCATGAACCATCATCTGGAAACACAAATCTCTAGCTTCATCACTGATTTGGTCCCATTGCTTATTTCGCATCTGTACAACAACAAAAAATATCACAAAAGGCTTACTGAATGATATTACATAATTTAAGTGAAGGATYAATTTGTCAATATTCACATTTTAATGTATTGCTCAAGTAGCAGTAGTTTATTTGTAAATTTATCACAAAAATATATCCTGAAACATGTATTAACTAATCAAGTAATATACACTTATTCTAAATGCACTATTAGAGCAAATAAATTAGATAGGAATAACCCTTAAGAATACTGTAACTTGTTTAATGGAAAGACAAACAACTAGACTCCACAGCAAGAAACAAGTGCAGTTCTTGATGACCCTTAGGATGCATTAAGTGTAGTGAGGAAAAAGAGACAAGTGACAGAGAAAGCTTCCTTGCATGTTTAATAACATTGAGTTATACCACAGATGTTTGAGAGGTTTTTCAGTCAGACAGAACTAGCTATGAAGGTGTTTTACCAACTTTGAATAATCTAACCATTTAAAAATAATGATAATAATAATAATCTTACCAATGGTTGGCCTCTTTTAATAGATTCATATACTTTTTCTCCCGTGCCATGGAATGGGAAGTTTCCTCCAAGTAATATAAACAAGATAACACCTAAAACAGAAAATATAGTATGAAACAATAAACCCTAACATCCCAGCATGGCTGGGTAAAGTCTAATATTGTGAATACAGGTATTGAATTACACTGTCACACACTTATAACGTCTTATTAACCCTTTTAATTGGCGGGTTCCTGGGAGACTTCAGACTCTCTTTAAGGCAAAAAATTCAAAWATGATTTTGGTTCAAATTTGAATGTTGTCAAGGAAACTGCTGCTATTTATTATAACTRAAGGCTCACATTTTCAAGGGATGCCTGTTAGATTTTTGCTGGTGTCTTTGGCTAGTGATCAGAGTGACCTAAGTAAAACGTACGAATTGTCCGCATGCCGGTTAAAGAGCTAATTTCAACCATCACATGATTTTGAAAATTTTTAAATGAAGTACTTACCACATCCCCATATRTCAACTGGTTTGCCATACTGCTCTCTGTTTATGACTTCAGGGGACATGAAATGWGGAGTTCCAAGACGACCTGCATTGTAATGTTGGACAACAATCATTATCAAAATTTATCAGTCATAAAAGATTGTTCACATAACCTAATGCATTTGTTTATGTCTATTATCAAGAAAACATAAGATATTTTTTATAAGGAATGAATTATGGTGTTAAAAATACTTGAGGATTAGGGCCTATTTACAACTATAATTTTTAATAATAATAGTACAAATACAATATTCTTGTTGAATTTTAATCCCCAAAAGCATTTATAGAGGCTGTGGGAAATAAAAGAAAATTCTCTGTTGTTTCCCCTGAGCCTCATTTTCATGTTTAGTCAACTGATATAAAGAATGTGGGTTATTTAAGTCAATGCAACATTACCACTGATGATGTAGCCTTCTGGTGGTAGCTCTACTGCAACACCAAAATCAGCTACTTTCAAAGGGGCTGAGTTATCTTTACTAGCTAATAATAGGTTATGTGGCTGTAAAAGAAATCAAATAAAGGAATTATGGTTAAAAACATTTTCATTTTCAAGGATTTTTATAGTCAAATTTGACCATTTCTTAAAGCGTTTGAGTCTTGCAATACAAAAAGTATGCAAAAATTGACTTGCAAAGTCTGGTTTTAGGTTTCCATTAGCAACAGAAGAAAAACATGGTAAAAATAATGCAAACAGAAGCAGAAACATTGAAAGAAGTACAGATACTTCCTTTTCTACTGAAAATTGGATGTAATACTTCTATCAAATTTCATGTCTTCATTAAAGGCAACTAAGTCCATAAATACCTTCAAATCTCTGTGGATAATTTGTCTTTCATGACAAAAGTTTATTGCTTCAAGAACTTGTCTCATATAATGACTGTGAAAAAATAATCCACAAAGAATAATAAATTTTAAAAGATTTTACAATATTTGACAGCRAGTAGTTTGAATATAGCAGTTTGAACKGTCTTTTTTAGCTGTTGATAAAACATTTCATTARGTACATGTACTATCAAGACAATGTAATTGACTATCTTGTAAGTTCAAATTGAATGGTAGTTGATGACTTGCATGGCGATTCAATGTCAAATAGAAGTGCACTATGGCACTTCCACCTATAATCAATTATCATAGACTGTTTGACCAGAGCCTTATAAATGACATTAGTTAGCTATTATAATAATTATATCTGTGTTGCATGTAGTTTTGAGAAATATTGTTGCTGATGCRCATCAGAGGTTTTGTCAGAGTGCATGAAGAAGGATTTAAAGGAATAACAATTATAACTGGTATAAACAATTGAATAATACAAGAGAGTGAATATCTGTTCTAGTTGTTAAGATTACCTTGCAACAGCTTCACTGAAGACAAATCCAGCATTTACTCTATTTACTATCTCAAAGCACAGATCAGATCCATCCATACTGAAAGAGATCATTAAACAAATAAGATATGATGCATTGATAAGTACATCAACGTCTACTTTTTTAGCTCTCTTGCTGAGAAATTTAAAAGATAACCAGGTTGCAGTTGAGTACAAGCTGTTCTGCCATTTCTTATGAAACAATTGGTGATAAATGGTAAAATGTACACCAAAGAAAGAGAGCTTTTACCAACAGGAAACAAACAAAAAATATTAAAAAAACAACAACAACAACAACAAGAGAATAAAAGGAAGCATTTATTTATGAAAGGCCAAATATTTTATTTCTGTTGGAATGGGGTTACTCTGCAATCATCCCTTTCCTGTTAGGCATGCCTGAACATGCTATGCATGAATTATAACCCATAATGTTTGCATGCAGAAGTTAGGATAGGGTGGGAAATTACATTTGCAAGGTGGTCTAGGGCAATTTCTTCATAATTTATGCAGTGAGTTAAAGACCACTTTCATAAGCACCTACCATCAATTTCATACATTTGACAATAAATATTATGGAAACATTTATCTCTGTCATATGGAAGAACTATCAAAAATAGGTGTTTGTGGAAGTTTTGAAGCTATGGATTAAATACTAACGTAGTTATTGAGGAATATAAATGCAAGGATTTGTATAGCCTGCGTAGCGGCCCTAAGGGGATTGGGGAGGGCCGGCCGAGCGGGGAGTGGGGAGGAAAATAGGAAGGGCCTGCAAGCGGACCCCACGGTTTTACGAAATCTACAGTTCGATTTGGCCGTAAATTCCCTATTGGTCGAGAGCAGCAAGCTGTCAACCAAATGTCAAAGTGATAGATACCAGGTCAAGTTGGCGTTTATACAAACATGGCGGGCGATGAAGAAGAGTTTTGTTATCGGTTAGAGCGTGCTTTAAGCGATTTAAAAGAAAAAGGCTTCAAAATTTCACTAAAAGAAGAACAGCGACAAGCTTTAGAACAACTGTACGTAAAAAAGAAAGACTTGGTGGCGGACTGGCTTCGGAAAAAAGTTTAATCTTTCAAGTGCTGGTTCTGTTGTCTCGCTTCGAGCTTCGCTTCCAAGAGATCTCTCCTCTTGTTATAGTTATTTCTCCGTTAGTTAGTATTATAAATGACCAGATCTTGGAAATAGATTCTCTTGGACTCAAGGGATGTAATCTGGTTGACGCAATTTAGACATGTTATCGAGTGTAGATGTTATGTATGCTTCCGCTGAAAGTGCTTTGGACAGACGCTTCACGGACTTTCTCATAGACAAGGACAATAAAAGTTTTGYTTCWAGAATTRTGGCTCTGGTTGTTGATGGTGTAGCATGTTTACAAAAATATTAGTTCTCATGTCCGTTCACCTCGCGACCTCATACTGATAGCGCTTCATGATTGGTTTATTTTGACAACTGTAAAGTTAGATTTACCAGACTTTTGAAAATATTAATTAGGGGGCGTTTCGTAAAACCGTGGGGTCCGCTTGCAGGCCCTTCCTATTTTCCTCCCCACTCCYCGCTCGGCCGGCCCTCCCCAATCCCCTTAGGGCCGCTACGCAGGCTAGGATTTGTATGAAATTCTTATTGATGAGCCCTTGGTAGTTTATTTTGGTGGTTTTGTGCCTCAAGAAGGATTAATTAATGTTTATGTGTGAAACTTTCAGAACTTATCTTTAGCTTTGGTATTTATCATCTGAGTATTTTCTTTTGTCAATGTTATGAATTTAAAGATAATGTGCATATTAGTGCCATCCATTATGAAAGTCATCAATTGAATTAAGAATTCATTTTAAAATYATCAATGACTTACTATTCAAAAACCATATATACAAATCCATCCATAGAATATCCACCAACTAGCTCAACTGAAACAAAAAACAGATGTTACTAMATAATGGATAGCACTTCATTGCTTGGACATACTGAGAATTTAGTATTAGAAGCAAAGAAAGTCTCCCTCACAGYCACTTTAAGTGCTACGCTATAATTTGATGCATGGGAGAGAGAGAATAATAACAGATGGTAAAGAAACTATTATTGCATCAAAGTTGAGTCTCCATCATTTGCATATCACAGGGTTTAAAAATCTAAAATTGTGATAAAGAAATATATTGACATTCAACTATTTGAACTAATTAATTAATAATAATTAAAAAAATCTGAGATATTGTTTTAGGAACCTTGGGGCCATTGTATGAGTGGATATCAAATACAATGTGAGATTTTTTTAATAAAAAAATTGTTTCATGTTTAAGGTTGTAGGGTTGCAAATACATGTACTGTAGTTGCAATTTTTGCATTGAAAATGCCATGGTAACATTGCTCAAATAATTCCCAAACATCAAAGCGTATTCAATTTCTTTTCATATCATGTGGTGATTAAGCTAAAAATGAAAGGATAATGACTATTTTTAGACATTATGTACTTAATGAAAAGACCATGTTAAAGTGAAGCAAAAGATATGACTGGCATGTACAATAATAAATGACCTCTTTAGTGTCATAAATAACGGCAACAGATGTACAAACAGTAACAGCTTTGGTAATACACTCGTCATACAAACGCTTATATGTAAAAACTTTAAAAAGATGGTAAAAATTTTGTATGCCTTGAAAAGAGATTAATGCAATCACCTTATTTTTTCATTCATATTATAGTGGCACAACTGATCCAGAATAAGAATTTCCTTTTTTTAAAAATTCAAAGGCAGGAATTKTTTACAAAATGTCCAGTATTGTGGTGCTATTGGAAATTTTATTTTATTATGTGAAAACAAACTCTATCTTGAATATTTAATTACCCTTGTATTGTAATATAAACTGTAAGATATCATCTTGAAAATGGATTAGATTTTTCTTTCATTTTTAAAGCCTCCTCTAATCAGAGATAAATGGGTAGCAACACTAAAAGGTGAAAATTATTCAAGAGAAATAACACTAGAATGACTTTTGAATGCTGAAGTTTGAGGTAATTGGTTGTCAATGTTACCATGATGTTGTAAAGTGAGACTATTATACTAGGAATATTCGGGAATCGATTGACATCCGAGTTATTTCAATTGATTGGATTAGCAAGGAAAGAATAAATAGTTTGACAGGATTAAATAGWATTCCCACATCCCACAATCAATAAAAGAGCATGTTCAAAACAACAAGCTAACAGATTTAGAACTCGAAATAATTTATGAAACACTGCACCCAAAGTATTATATGACCTAAGGGCGCTTACAGAACCTCCACATACCTATATGGGGGTGTTTGAGCTTCTGACAAATGCTTGCTTCTCGATGAAGATCTGTAGAAAACACAAGGAGGAATAAGTGTTTGAAGTACACGCATTGAGGTTTTCACCGGGAATAAGCATAAAAAAACCGAGGGCAGCTGCTAGCTGTGTGGGTTTTGCGCGCTAGTGTACTTAATCCACGCTCCTATGCTTTGAACAAAGAGTCTACACGCGAACAAGCCAATTCAGGCTCCATTTCACTATATGTATATACACAAACAAACGATAGAAAACATGTTGATCGGGAATATTTTTGATTTATTTAATTGATTGCGATGTATTTTAATAAATTCAAACAATCTCAAATTGAATATCGAATCATTAAGTTGATTTGAGCCTTTAAAATTATCATCAATGCAGAGAAGAGAATTTGATGCTAAAAGATTTCGCGATATAGGGTTGTTAGGGTACTTGGGCGAGATCTAAAAAAATAAATAAATATCTCATCAACAATGCATAATTCTTGCGAAGGTTGGCTTTTCCACTAGGGGTGTCCTCATCGCAAAACATCATCATACAACATTGTTTTTCTATCTGATTTAACTCTTCCGATTTGAAGTCTGTCAAAATAACTGTTACGGTTATGACTATGGCTCGTGGTATTGGCGTTTTTAATTCGTTTTGGCGTGTTCAACAGTGTTTTGACTATTTTGATTCGAGCAGAAATTGACTGTAACGTACCTGACTCAGTTAAACCACATGAAGAAGTCATCTTGCTCACATCCACTATCTTTACAGCACAAACCTTGTTTGTTTTCTTGTCCACACATCTTCTTATCACACTGAATGTGCCTCTGAAAGATAACCAAACACAGCGGAATACTCTTAATCCCTTGGATCATCACGAAAATTTGCAATAGTTGTAGTACAAAACCCTCATTCTGTTCTAGAGTTCATAACAGCTCATATCTCTTACTTCCCAATCTGCTCTTGTAGGTCAAATCTGGGTGGAAATCCAATCTCCATGACTAGAATATTCTATACAGCAATTCAGGAACAAATGAGGAACGTTATCGTTTGCTCATGTTTCGTAAGTTAAGCAATAATTTTGAGAATTTGCCTTTCGAACACCGGTTTTGTAAAAGATACAAGACCACACACTCGAAGTGTAGTGGGACAACGGAGAAAGACTGGGCATAGGCTAGTTCCACCCCTCCCTCCATTGTCAAGTGAAGAGAGTGATAACAATGAGAACAATAAATATGGTAATACTCCCAATTGTTAGCGTGATAATCGACCACCATCAATTGGTTTAAAAAGTTCCATAACGAAGTAGTTTATGTTAACTGTTTGGGATTATCGTTTGGTATCCAATTAGTGAGTGGATTTAAAAAAAAACTGCGGTAATTTTCAAACACTATATCTTACCATGAGCTCCATTGGGAAAAAATCTTCTAGGTAGGAAAAACTAATTGTAAAGTACAAACACTAAAACTGTGCAACATAAATACCACTGAATACTGCTAAATTGTGCTAATTCTATTGTTTTCTATTGTTTAATTAACACTATTTTGTAGTAAATAGTGGAAAGTGTTGCACACATTTAATGCTTGTACTCTAGCATAGAAAGAGGGTTTTTGTAACCAAAGCAAATATATTTTTATGTATTTCCTGGACTTTCTGATTTGGGAGCCCTGTGGTAGGGCAAATGATTGGGCAATGGTATCACGTGATTTGTATGTTAGCCGCCATTTTTGAAAATGTCGCAAAAGTTTWGTTSTGTGATTTTTTGTCAAGCWTRATTATGGTCTGATTTCTTTTTAAAGTCGATAGTTTACTAAGTAATTCGTATGGGATATTGTCTTGAAATGTCAGAGGAGTTATGAAGAAGGGGTAAGAAATATAACGTCATGTTAGAAAGGTAAACAGAATGTTTTATCAACTCAACTTTTTCTWAAMATTTTCTTTMCAAGGAATCCTTTTCAAGTTGAGCCTCTACCGAAAGCATTTTATTATCCTTCAAAAGAAAAAGAGCTGACAAACAAAGAGAAAAAGGTTAGAATGTGTATAAAGTTGCAGCACATTATTATTTAAGGTGTTCAATGCTGTCTTTGAATCAATGTAAAATTTCTATCAAGACTGTTATTTTGCAAAATATATTTCTTGTTATGGCTGACTTGTAGGTCTGCCTTTCTGTCCCTGTYCCACAACAAAACAAAGTGACAAGTCCTGAAGATCTAAAATTTCTCAAAGATACCAATGCGCTTAAAGTACAAGAGATACCAACAAGGGAAAATGGATCTTTTGGCGAGCAGTCATCYAGCTCTCAGTTTAATGAATCTTGGCCAAGCACAGAACAAAACGGATCACATAGTACCATGGTGTCTGATATCACATCGCCTGAAATGTCACAACAGATGAAAGAATGGTTATCTGGAAAACAAGATAGACCAGTTACAAAATCAACTCTTGGATGGTAAGAATTCAAACTAGATTTACAGGCATAAAAGGCTAACTAACAGTCTCCTCAGCACCATGTTAAGCTCCATTTGAATTGTCAAAACATAATTTATTTTAATCTAAAAAATCCTGTTCACTSAAGGATTTAACCATTGAAAATTAATTCCTTCATCTTTTATTTTTATTTTTTAGTTATTTTTTTTCTTGTTTCAATTAAGGTATATTAACAGATTTCGTAATGCACCTCCCACCTCAAGACAGATCCGTGATAAGTCATCATTTACCAATCAAAARCAAGGAGACTTCTGGTGGCTCTCTCCACCTAGTGGCCAATCAACACCTGTGTTGGACACTCCACCACAAAAACTGAAACCTTCAACATCAATGGSTCCCATGAAGGAGGTTTGTACTCAAAATATGTATATCCAGTTTGAACTATAGAAAAAGGAGCATTTCAAGATAGTTGGTAATTTGATATATCTAAGTAACAAAAGGCTTGACATTTATTCATTGTACACAAACGTCTTCATTTGTCTTATTTGCACAGACTTGTAAGTTACCTGCATCAACCTCATCATCWCCATCTTTGCACACAAGTGATAAATTCACTGAAGATTTGAATAAAAGAGCAAAAGAGCTATTAGAAAGAAGGTATTTTTTATTATTACATTGTACTTATGAGGATTACTGCATAAATATTTCAAAGAAATAAAGCTGGTTCTCTCATAATCCTCGGGTTAAGTATAAACAGTTAATAAAGTTTGGATAATTAGACTGCAGTTACAAGAAGGAAACGAAAAAGAACCATCATATTAGTGTCCTCCTTTGTAGCCTCCTTACTTTTAGCCAATCAGGGTCCCTCCCATAACCCCCTGGAGTCATATCAGTAAACAGGAAGCCCAAAGCAAAAAGGTAAATAATCTGGAGAGGTTTATTCATGTAAATAGCTTTAAACTTTCTTTTCTTTAGTGAAACATCAATTGAAAGTACATCTACTGAGCCATTTCCTCTGCCACTTAAAAAACCTGTTGTGAAAAAAACAAGAACACCTGAGACMATACCCAAACATACCAGTACTCCTGATCTATCTACTAAACTTACCACAAACACACCTAAACCAGCAATACAATCAACACACAAAAACCCATGGCCTGAAGAWGATATTCTTTACCAGTGGAGATTAGCCAGGAAAATGGAGAAAGCTCAAGAAAGGGCAACAACAGGGAGATCAGGAGGGCCTTTGGGTTTGTCTAGTGGTACTCAAAGATTACTAAACTCTCGTAACCGTATTGGTTACAGTCCAGTCAGTGGTTCTACTGGTTTACATSCACAACATTCTGAACTATTTTCATTACCTSAAGCTCCAGTTGTAACTGAAACAGTTTTTGATCCACATACTCCAGTTTGTGCAAGTACTACCAATATTATATCATCAATGATTCCCAACAGTGYACCAGTCTTCACAACMGCTAGTACTGCTACRCAGCCAAACAYATCATCATTTGTGTCTCCACCTTGCCGACATAAATCAAAAAGTGACAGTCRYGGTGGCGTACCACCCCATATGCATCTAGCATGTGATATTTTACCATGTTCTTGCTCAGAAACTATACCAAAGGCTGATCTAAAAATTTKCACTGCTAAATTACCAAACCAAACATCAGCACCTCYCWATGAAAATCACATTAACCATTCTAATCCAGATAGTGAAATGACAAATAAAAAGGCATTAGTGGATAAGTCTTCGTGTACTCAACAAGATGTTKCAAGATCAAATCTTGACAGTAAAGATCCAACATCTTCTGAGGAACAAACAGTTAAAGAACCTGTAGTTATTGCAAAGAAAACATCAGATGAACATAAGAGAGAAGGCAGAGTAGACAAAAGAGACTTTGAAAGGAAAAGAAATCACTTAGAATCTTCTGTACAAAGTAATGAAAAGCAATTAGAATCAATTAATATTTCATTAGAAGAAAATGAAAAAACAGTAACATCTAAAATGAAGAGACAAACCAAGAAGAAACAAGAGGCCTTTGAYGTGGTTGATAATGTTATTGGAAAGGTAGGAAGATCATTGCGGGTACTAATGTCTGGCACATCACGTCTCATTCCTAATCATATATTGAGAACAAAAAAGACAAAAAAGTTCAAATTTCTCTTGTTCCTCAACAAGCTGTGTTAAAATGGTCTGGTGTGCTCTGATATGGTTAAAACTGAGACTTGCTCTGCTGATGACCAAGTTGAAAATTTGACACAACWCTGACAAATTTGATACAAAACTGAGTGTCAGAATTTCTGGATTTACTAGCCCAATCAAGATAAGAAGTGGATGAATTTATTTATTGACAAAATAATGTATTTTTTAACCAGGTTGTATCAGAACATTTATTCASTGGTGATTYATCAAGTGGTGAGAATGAAAGYTCCAYRAGTGAATCAATCYYACAACCAGARAGAGAAGATACAGAAAAARCACAASSWMAAGG